CTTGGAACCGCACGAAAATTACCTGCTGACGCAAGAGCGGTTTATTTACATATGTATATTTTAAGAATAAGTAACAGAAACCAATAATCACAACAAGAAATAATCTAAATCAACACTGACGTATTCACATGGGTACATGAATATGAACATATACATATGTATACCATGTGCATATACTTAGTAAAGTAATGCGTTTGTTTACTTACCTGTAAGCCAGATTCATGCATTTAAAAAGTTTTGTGAGTGAGGTTTCGATCTCCAAATGCGAAGCTACGACGGATCCTACATGGCCTGGCTCTTGAATGTGCGATATTTTGCGTGGCACAAATCGCTGCACATCAGTACAAGTATTTACCGCCTCCTCTGATTTTGCAAGGCTGGGATCTTCTGGATCAATCATTTTTACCTCGTCATCCTCTTCAAGATCATCTTCCTGCGCCTCTTCGGCTTCAAAGTGAGAAACCATAAATTGACCTGAGTGTATTGATTCTCGCTCTAATTTCGAAATGTTAGCAGCATTTGTGCCATAATCGGTTGAAACGGCTTCAGATGAACCAACACTGGTTGCCATGGTTGTGGCTATACCGCCGCAACTTTGTTGCTGCTGTTGCAAAGTCTGCTGATGTTGGTTTTGGTGTTGTAAATAATTCTGATATTTGTTCAGCATCATTGTTTCTTCTACAGCTTGACGCGCGAAATATATCAATCTATACGTACATATACGATCATATATCCGTTTGTATGATTATATGTATGTAGTATGTATGTATGTGAGCTTTTAAATTTGATTGTTACCGATTCAACTGAATCAATCATGAAGGAAATGTAATCCGTCTACAGTAATAATGATAAAATGTTTATAATTATTTGCACTTTTTATTCGCGGATTATCAACAACTAATGACCGTTAAAACTCTTTTGAGTTGTAAACGTGTAACAACTTTTTATAGTTATGTATAAGCACAACGAACGACAACTATAAACGTTAGCTATCAGCTACGGCGACAACTTCAATGGCAACTCCAAGACCAACTTAAAACAATGTTGTCGAAAATTATATGTTTTCCTTGGCACACACATCGTCTTTACAAACGAACACCGATGACGTCTCCGATCTTCACGGTCCACGTCGTTGTTTAAACATACACAAATATACCAGGGACGCCAACTCGAGGGGAATTCCGCGATTTGCTGGGAATTTTCAGTTAGCGTGGGGAATCGGGGAATGGACCTTTTTTTGTGGGGAATTTCAGCTCGTTGAATTCTAGTACAACAAAATTTCAAATGGTTAAAAATTACCGTTTATTTTTTTGGAAATTTCTTTGTCGCATTTGCTTTTATATAACGAATAAAAACAATTTATTTTTATATGGAAGAAAACCGCAAAAACTTCTACAAAAAAATTCTAAAACGAAAATTGTTAGCCACTTGATGAAGCTTGAACTAAAATTGAGTGAGTTACGAAATTGCACACTCAAAATCTTTCTAGAAAATCGAATGAAAAGGTCGATATATTTACTAGTTTTTCTTTTTTAAATATTGCACGAAGTTTGAAACCTGGATATATACGGTTTACGTTAAAGAATGAACTATATATTTATAAAAAAAATAACTAAAATAAAATAACCAAAAAAAAGTGAAAACTTGGCAAAATTTGGTGCGACTAAAATTTTTTCGACCACTGTATGTATGTAAATAGTATATACAAATTTTGTATTCTTTGTTTGTTGACTAACTTGTGAGGACTAAATATCCACGGAATTTAGCCCACACGAACGCCGCCCCCCTACACCAGCAGCAACGACTACAACAGCAACAACAACAACTACAGCAGCGTCATCAACACGGCCAGCTAACATAAGGGACCGTATCAACACTCCCTGGTGACACCGTCACCATAGCAACGCAACATGTAGCCATACGACTCAGCAACACGAAGAGCACCAGCTATAACAGATGTGACTTGCGAACACACAAGTCAGTCAGCACGGAGCTGTGGTCGTGAACGCACAGCTACTAGATAATAGCTCTCGACTTGTACATAGGCGACTATATAAGGCTTGGCTGTTCAAAGGTAGAGCGCCGCCACCCCACAGTCAACCGTGAAGCCGCGCGACGGCGACGCCAGTTCGCCTACCAGCCCCGCGCCGACGTCGCCCAGAGGAGCACACCGACGTCGCCCAAAAACTAAGCGTCGTTAGCGGAGCCGTGGTCGTGAACGCACAGCTACTAATGAATAGCGCATGACTTGTACATAGGCGATTATACAGGGCTTGGCTGTTCAAAGGTAGAGCGCCGCCACGCCACAGTCCACCGCGAACACGCGTAACGGCGACGCCCGCTCGCAAAGCAGCAGCGCGCCACCATCGTCGCAACAACGTCGTATCGTAGCAGAGCGCCGACGTCGCACAGTAGCAGAGCGCCGACAGAATAGCGTCGCAAGCAATAGCGTGCGCAAGCCCGCGCAACGGTGACGCAGAAGCAGAACGCCGACACAAGAGCGCTGACGTCGCATAGGAGCAGAGCGCCGACAGAATAGCGTCGCAAGCAATAGCGTGCGCAAGCCCGCGCAACGGTGACGCAGAAGCAGAACGCCGACACAAGAGCGCTGACGTCGCATAGGAGCACAGCGCCGACACAGTAGCGCCGACGTCACCCAGCAGCAGCGCGCTGGGAATTCACCGTTAGGAATTCATACACCGTTAATCGTATTATGTTCATAGAAATTAAGTAGTAACACGTTTTTTTTAGAAATTAAATAAAGTACTATTTGCAAAGGTCCCACTTTATAAATTTATTGTAACGGACCCTGGGCACGGCGAGTATACCTCAGCATAGAAAACAGAAGCGTCGGGGCCTTCACAGGAAAACGCTTCGTTACAATTGGCGCCCGAGCAGGGACTCTGCAAATAGTACAATACAAAGAGGACATTTCGAAGCCGCTAACTAAACCAGCCATGACAGAACCAGTGAGCATAGCGTGGCTGGACAGCGTATCCAAGGAACAGTTGGTGTCCATCACACAGGAACTGGGCATCGAACACACAGCCACCACTCCAGAGATGAGGAAACGAATAGCGGCATGGGCCGCCAAAGCACTCGTCGACCCGGAACTTCATGAAAAATTTCTCGCGATGGAAGCAGCATACAACGAACAGGAGGCCCACTGGAGAGACGAAAGTGAGCTAAAGACACCATTAACCGTGAATCAAGGCGAAAGAACCGCTAATGTGCCCGTTAGGCCGCCAACGCAGAGCCAGTTCACATATCCGCTACCGAGTATGCAGCCGCCCCCTCAGCACCCGCCAACGACATCCACCGCAACAAACGCGGACGTGCTAACCAACGGCAACCATGTGCCTACCGTTACTTTTGCGCCCATCATCGACCAGGTACGCAAGTGGTCAGTGAAGAACGATGGAGGACGCGACCCGTTGGCGTTTACAGAACGATTAGAGGAGCTGGCCGACGTCTACACATTAAATGTAGACTTATTACCAAAGACGATGCCTGAATTGATAAGCGGCACCGCCCTCCATTGGTACCGCAACAACAACGAGCATTGGACCAACTGGGCGTCATTCAAACGTGATTTCCTGCACTTTTTCCTACCGGCCCGGTATTTTGAACGCCTGGAAGACGACATAAGGCAGCGGAGGCAGCGCCCGCGAGAAAAATTCAAGGACTACGTGATCGCGATTCAAAACCTAATGCGATACGCGGGTTACAGTGGTGAACAACGGCTGGAAAGGATTTTTCGAAATAGCCACCCGCAGTACTTGCTTTACATCAGACGGCGAGATTTTAACACTTTGACGGAACTCCTCACACTCGCAGAAGACTATGAAAGCATCTACGAAAGCCATCGGCGGGCCACAGAAACCGCCCGACGAGAAATAGCGAGACACGTTGGTGACGTTCCCATTATGTCACCCCAACCGAGACAGGCACTTCAGCAACGACCGCCACCACGCATGGAGCAGCATCATCGAGGAGCACCGTATAATACCGCCGCGAGGACCCTACCCCCTTCGAGAGCCGCGACTTAGACTTTTCATAGCGGGAACACATGCAGGAGGTGTGGTCAAGAGGGATACTTCGCCCGAAGGTGACGTAACCCACGGAAGCAGTTCTGTTGGGAGTGCGGCCGGGCCGACATACGGACAATAGAGTGCTGCCGGAGGCGTCAGGGAAACGAGAGAGGGCCTCTACGCCCTAATCTCGTTGGGTGGAGCACCCGCGAAAGCAGTCATCGACACAGGTGCCTCGAGGAGCTTCGTGTCCGCCAGCGTGGCGGAGCAATTGATTAGCTTGGGGGAAAAAGATAACTGTGGCCATAGGAATCCTTATGGCCGATGGCACCAGGAACCAAATATCCGAGGCCGTGAGGACCGTAGTCCGCCTTGGGCAAACGATCCACAACGCCGTTCTGCATGTCATGCCTGGAGCAATTGACGACATCATTTTGGGCCTGGACTCACTAGGGGGAATGGGAGCTACGGTGTCCTGCGGAGGACACCGCGTCGTATTGACGGAACCACCTATACAACCCACGTCGACGATACCAAGCGAGCCAACACCAAGCACCGAGGACTCCGAACCACCAGCCAGGACGAACCATCGCCCGCCAAGGAGCAGAAAGGGGAGGCGCCGTACAAGACGATGGTCCGCCAGGGAGAGGGTCAACAGAATAGAACACGAGGACCCCAACCACGAAGATGAGGCAGCCCGCATACGCGACTTTCTAGCCGAAGAACTGCAAAAATTCGAGACTATGAGCGGAGTAGCCACAGTGGGAGAGCACCGGATCATCATGACTGACGAACGCCCCATCAAACAGCGGTACTTCCCGCGCAACCCTGCAATGCAATCTGTCATCGATGAGTTAAAGTTAGCAAGACCACCGCATCAGTGGAGACCGTCATTCGATCGGCAACTAGCGAGCCACACGTGGGAGACGAAAGAATTTTAATAAAGGTGAAAATCAATCAACGATGAACATGGAAAGCAAAATGGAGGAGAGTGTGAAGCGCTTACGCGAACGCGTAGCCGAGGAAAACGCGAAGCGACCGCGGACCCAGATGCTGGGCGTGGGGCCGACCATAGGCCCACGGGATGCTGCCCGCGCACACGCCGAAGCCGCCGATGCCGCCGCGATGTACGCGGCACTCACGCACACTACTGGACAGACGCGCAGCCAGCAGCAAGCAATGGCGACCAAGCTAGCCGCTAGACGGACCGCCGTCGCACGCGCTGCCAGCATACACGCCGCCGCCATCCACGCGGAAACGACCCGTTCTCTGTCGGTACACGCGATCGCGGCTCACGCAGCCGCAAGGTACGCGGCCACAGCCAGCGTGACGACGGACACCCACGCTGAAAATGACGACACCGCACAGGCTACAGCAGCACGCGCCGTCGCAGCCCAAAAAACTGCCTCGCGCACAGCCGCCGTACACGCTACAGCGGAGTTCACCAACGCAGCGCGCGCTGCCCACGAAATCGCCGGGCGCACACTAGCCGCTTTCCCGACCGTCAGCCCTTCGGGAGACGACAGGTACAACACCGCCGGGGCAACCGCCTTCTCGGTGAGGAGGGTAGCTTCAAATCACGACACCAAACCCGGGAGCGGAATGGACACGGACAAAACCACGCCCACTATTAGCCCGCCCAACGAAAGTATAACAAGCGACAGCTCGACGAGCGACAGCGCATCGCACACCACTCCATCGGACACCAGCACGACCTCCGATGGCCCAACAGGCGACAGTCCAGCTAGCGACAGACCGCAAATCGAAATCGAGCTATCCTCGGACCCGGCGGAGTACGCTGTATGAGGCCGATCTGCGGACACTGACAGGGCCCTATTGGTTGACAGACACAGTCATCGATGCCTGGGCGATGGGCCTGGAAGCCACGTTCAACATACGAGGTACCATACTCAGCCCATTTGCTGTCTGGTAATTAAGCAAACCCGACCGGGGAGAGAATTATCAGCGCATCCACCGGTGGCTACGCCACACCGACCTTTTCGGCCAACGGGTTGTCCTCGCGCCACACAATGTCTCGAACCATTGGTACCTGCTCGCCCTCGCCAACCAGGAGATGACCCACCACATAGCAGATAGCGAGTGTTGGCACGACCACTACATTTGGGTGGCCACTCCAGGAAAGTGGGAAGGGTGACACACGCGGTACAGGAATGGCAAGAGTTTCTTCGGTGGGAATACCAGCAGCGACATCAGCGGGAGGCCCCCCACATACGGGAGGTACATCTGGAGGTACCACAACAGACCAACGACAGCGACTGCGGGGTCTACGTGGTGGAAACTATCAAGAGGGTGCTGAGATGCGTAGGACGCGGAGAAGGAAGGCCGGGGTGCATATCCGCCCCGTTCACGGCAGCCATGGCGGTGCAAAAACGCGCGCAAATGCTGAGGGTATTCCAGCAACCACCGGAGGCAACAACACCACTACCTCCACCGCCACCACCACGACCCACGGAGCCTCCAGAGGCAACAGCAACACTACCTCCACTACCACACACACCAGTATCCCCAGAGGTAGTAAGTACCACTGCCACCGTCACCGCCCCGAGCGCCAGCACCGTCCTAAACAGCGTCACCACGACAAGGCTCGTCGACACCACCAAGGGAACAAACGGTCATTCCCGCCGAAGAGGCCGACGGACCAGCGCTGGACCAGTTCCCGGAGGTCGCCGAGAGGGTCCGGAGGACTATTCGCGACATCGCAGAGGGAACCTGCGCGTCCTATGTGAGGTTCCGGGCGAGTCAACGTATACCGGTGGGGAGCTCGTATAATATCGAGGCACCCCAAACTTAAGCCCGCCGAAGAGGGGAGGAAGTGTGACGACTAAATATCCATGGAATTTAGCCCACACGAACGCCGCCCCCCTACACCAGGAACAACGACTACAACAGCAACTACAGCAGCCACATCAACACGGCCAGCCAACATAAGAGACCGTATCAACACTCCCTGGTGACACCGTCACCATAGCAATGCAACATGTAGCCATACGACTCAGCAACACGAAGAGCACCAGCTATAACAGATGTGACTTGTGAACGGAGCTGTGGTCGTGAACGCACAGCTACTAGAGAATAGCTCTCGACTTGTACATAGGCGACTATATATGGCTTGGCTGTTCAAAGGTAGAGCGCCGCCACCCCACAGTCAACCGTGAAGCCGCGCGACGGCGACGCCAGTTCGCCTACCAGCCCCGCGCCGACGTCGCCCAGAGGAGCACACCGACGTCGCCCAAAAACTAAGCGTCGTTAGCGGAGCCGTGGTCGTGAACGCACAGCTACTAATGAATAGCGCATGACTTGTACATAGGCGACTATACAGGGCTTGGCTGTTCATAGGTAGAGTGCCGCCACGCCACAGTCCACCGCAAACACGCGTAACGGCGACGCCCGCTCGCAAAGCAGCAGCGCGCCACCATCGTCGCACCAACAGCAGCAGAGCGCCGACATAGTAGCGCCGACGTCGCACAGCAGCAGCGCGCCCCCATTGTCACACCAACGCCACACAGCTGCAGAGCGCCGACATAGTAGCGCCGACATCGCACAGCAGCAGCGCGCCACCATCGTCGCGCCGACGCCGCACAGCAGTAGAGCGCCGCCATAGTGGCACCGACGCCGTCCATCAGCAGCGCGCACCAATCGTCGCACCAACGTCGTATCGTAGCAGAGCGCCGACACAGTAGCGCCGACGACGCACAGCAGCAGAGCGCCGGCATAGTGGCACCGACGCCGTCCATCAGCAGAGCGCCGACAGAATAGCGTCGCAAGCAATAGCGTGCGCAAGCCCGCGCAACGGTGACGCAGAAGCAGAACGCCGACACAAGAGCGCCGACGTCGCATAGGAGCAGAGCGCCGACACAGTAGCGCCGACGTCACCCAGCAGCAGCGCGCTGGGAATTCACCGTTAGGAATTCATACACCGTTAATCGTATTATGTTCATAGAAATTAAGTAGTAACACGTTTTTTTTAGAAATCAAATAAAGTACTATTTGCAAGGCCCCACAATATAAATTTATTATAATGGACCCTGGGCACGGCGAGTATACCTCAGCATAGAAAACAGAAGCGTCGGGGCCTTCACAGGAAAACGCTTCGTTACAAACTTTATAAAAGTTTGGTTTGGTTTATGAATACATAATAAAATAAACAAAAAGACCAGCTATATATCAAAATAGATACAATTTCTTTTGCAAATGCGGAGATATCTATGGGTGGGCAATTTTATTAAATTTCGGGCAAAATCGGGGAATTTCATTGTCGAAATCGGGGAATTCTAAACAAATGTGTTGGATACCCTGAAATATACATATATGTACATTAGACTGCATCACTTTCCATACAAACCAAAGACTTCCACCAAAATATCTCGGAACAAGTAAGAAAGTCTAAGTTCGGGCGGAGCCGAACATTAGATACCCGGCGTGAGTATTAAATATATGTTTTTTCACCTTTCCGAAACCTACCGCTAGATGGTAAGTAAATTAGCGTCCTTAAATTTCGAAATATTGCAGTTTAAAGCATTTCTGAAATTTACCGTTATATGAAAAGCGGCCGTAATTTTAGTCAGATTTGAATAATTTTCAACGCTTTGTTTTTATGTGGCAAGCACAATAACCATACCGAGTTTGGTACAAATTGGTATAACGGTTACCGAGATACATATATGTGATCATAAGTTAATAAATTAGTGAATAAAGTAGCTTTAATATTTAGTGATTTATCGAAGATTTTGTATTTCTCTAAATTACCGTTATATGGGATGTGGGCGTGGTTATTGTCCGATTTTAAAAAGTTCGGCCATTTGGTATGCTGTACCAGGGCCAACAACTGTGCCAAGTTTGGAAGAAATTGGTGCAGCGGTTACCAAGATATACACATGTAACCATAAGTGGGGGTGGCTACGCCCACTTTCCAAAAATTTATAATATTCTTAATTTTCGTCTGAAAATTATTGTAAATATCAAGTTTGAGTGAATAATCCTCGGTAGTTACTAAAATATCGCAGTTTTCGTATTTTTGGAAATTACCGTTATATGGGAAGTGGGCGTGGTTACAGTCCGATTTCGCCCATTTTCAATACCAACCTACCTTGGATTAAGGGAAACCTACATACCAAATTTCGTTGAGATATCTAAATTTTTGCTCGAGTTATCGTGTACACGGACGGACAGACGGACGGACAGACAGACATGAATTAATCGACTTCTCTATTCATTCTTAGCATTTATGTATACATTTGTGTATATCTAATTCGATTCGTTTTGGCTGTTACAAACAACCGTTATGTGAACAAAATTAATATACCCTTGTGCACAAGTGCGCTCGGGTATAAAAATATTAAAATTTACGTGAGCTAGACCTATTTGAAAATACCTCCAAAAATTGAGTTCTTTATTAATAAAAACGGTTTTTTAAGTGTTTTTTGAAAAAAATCACCTCAGATGACCAAACAGTTTAAGCTTAAAAAATTTGCATAAAAATATTTTTAAAACATTTTCTACGGAATCATAATAATGAGATTTTTGATGCTGTTTTTGAACTTTTTTCAAAGCCTGGTTTAAAAAAACTTGACTAACTCAGCCAAAACCTTACCAATTTAGACATATGAAGTATCATTGGTAAGGTATTTTCTCACCCTTTTAAGCTCATTCACAGTATGAAAGAGGAAGGAAAAATAAACGAGTGTAATTCCATATTGAATTAAGATGTGTTGGTATTTGATAAAGAAAAAATTGGGACGTGAATGAGTTTTTTTTTGGAAATAAATAAAAACGGTGAGAAAATACCTTTCCACTGATACCTACGGTGACCATATTTATGGCAGCCGAATACGGGACAAACAATTTTTATTTTTTGCTTTTTTTCACAAAAGCTGGAGGATTTTAAAACCTTTTTCAATGTTCCTAGATTTATTAGCCCTGAAGCAGCATCTTTATTTGGCATATATTTTTCGATTCGATCTTTTGTGAAAGCAGCACATAAATTTTCAGTGGTAACATCACGCATTTGTAGAATATTTTTTATAACTTTGTACTTTGTGCTCGGGATTTTTATCCCACAAAATTTGTTACAAACATTCCTACGCAGGAAATCATGATAAAAATATCCGACTACTTTAGAAGCACGAGTGGCATCCAACGGATTATTTTCAGAATCGGATTTCGGTCAAACACATGCAGTGAGTAGCATCCGGAACGAGCTGAATTGCAACGCGAACCTTCGAAGGGTTCCACTTCCCCTCCATCTTTACTTTTACAACATTCTCATTGTAGATTTATTTGGAGTTTCTCATGCTGAAGATACAATCCCTCATACAATCAGCAAAATGTTTTTTTGGCGTAGTTACGCCTAATGAATATATAATAATATAAATTCATATTTAAAACTTTGTTCAAAAATCATAAAAATTCTGCAAAATTGGATCTAAATTTTGAACTTTTTAATCAGATTTTTTTAAATTTTTTAAGTGTGTAAGTTTTATAGTCTATTAAATTTTAGTAAAATGAAGTTTAAGTTTCAAGTTGCTAAAAAATCGCGTTGTTTTTTGACAATTTTTTTAACGCATTTTTTTCCATACAAGGTATCATACAAGTATGTTCGACAATTTTTTGTATGTAGTTTTATAGCCCATTAAATTTTATTAGAATAAAATGCAGGTTTGAAGTTCCTAAAAAATCGTCTTTTTTTTACGATATGAATCTAAACATTTGCAGTAAGCCAAAACATTGTCTAACCATTATACTTTTCCTATATACACTTTATTTTATGTTGTTATATACAATAAATT